TGTGAGTGAATGCTGTGTGAGTGTGTGAGTGTGAGTAAATGCTGTGTGAGTGTATGACTGTGAGTGAATGCTGTGTGAGTGTGCAGTGTGATGAGTTGGCGACCCATCCGGGGTTGTTCCCTGCCATACACCCATGTCCTCTGGGATAGGTACTGGGCCCTCCACAACCCTGAATAGGACAAACGATTTCAAAAAGTCGATGGATGGATAGAACATCCATCTTCTACCTTTTTATCCAGCAAAGGACTACAGGGAGCCTGGAGCCCATCCCAGGAAGCTTTGGAGAAAAGACAGGGCTCCTTGAACAGGATGCCAATCCATTGCAGGGTACTTATACACAAGAAATTTTATTTCTTGTATCGTGTAATTTATTGTTTGTATAGTGTCATTTATTGTCTGTGTACTAGGGAGTTTCAAGCAGCCGGAAGCAAATTCCTTGTGTGCCCCAGTACACTTGGCAAGTAAAGCTGATTCTGATTGTACATGTAATTTAATAATGCGAATTACAGCTCCTCCTGCAAGTCATGGAATGGGGGACGATACCAGAGCACCCTGTGGAAACCCGTGTAATAGAGAATTTGCTAAGCCCACACACATTCTGCTAAGATAGGATTTGAACCCACAACCCTGCTATTATGACACTACAGTGATGCTCCCCCACATTAACAGTATTTCAGAAAGGTTTAACTGGCTTTTAAGGCATAGATCTGGTGACACATCAGCTCAATAGGTGGCGCTGTGGTTCACACATCCTGGTATGACTAAGTATTCTTCAAATCCAAGGTCAAGCTGTTTAGGATGTGTCTAATTGGACATGTAGCCACGAATCCTCAGGCGGCTATAAAAAGCTCTAAAAAGCCAACAGAAAGTTTTCCATTCATGTAGTGTCCAGTTTCCCCCTTACTGTGTCAATCTCTATTATTTTTGTCAGCACAGAAATCCAAGGGCAGCCAGCTGAGACCTTTTAAAGATGTGTAAGGATGTGTGACCTCACACCTCCTCACAAGGCGAATAAAAACAGGCCCGTCTCTCCGGAGAAACACCCCCTGTCTCCGTCTCGCTTGTCCTTTGTCTGCACTGCCATTCCAGAGCTCATTCTGTCTCTCTGCCCTATTAGGTCAAGCTCCTCCTCTGAGCAGGAGAGGGGAGAGCAGCGCCCCCTGCAGCAACCCCTGCCTCGGTTTATGACTCTCGTAAATAGCCCATTTTGTTGCCCCGGCCTCCGCATAGACCTCATCAAACACTCCGGAGGGCTGCTGGGGTTTTCAGTTCAAGGGCAGTCTACAGGCTGGGGATGTGGCCCTTTGCTGATCCCTGGGTTCTGTGGAATTAACTGGGATTAGAGGCACAGGTGCGAGACATGTCAGTTTAATGGAACATTCCAGAAGGGATGTCAGAGTAGCTGTATAATGTCACTCATGCCTGGTTGTATGTGCACCTCCGTTTTCTGCAACAAATAGAGACGCGCTGACTGTAGCAAGATAATCTGTGCCAGTCGCCTTGGCGTCACACGCAGACCCTTGCTTCCCTAAACCCACACGTGGGCAAACTGGACATGGTCAGAGGAGGGAGAAAATTTAACTGTGAATTAGTGAAAACCAAATAGCACAGACAAGGCCTTAAAGTCTTAACAGGTGAAGAGTCAGTGTGGAAAATACTTTTATTGTGAATGTTTTGCCAAAAATCGGAAGTTTTTCCTCATTTGATCAGTGCAAATAATGTTTTAGTGAATGTGCAGAAGGAACAGAGATCTGCCAGTGAAGGACAGCACATCATACAAAAGGGGCAGACTGATCTAATACAGAGTTCAGAATTGTTTTTTTTTTTTTTTAAATATGTGGCTTCATGTATTTTTATAATTTTGTGTATGGGATGGGATGGAGGGGGGCATGTAATGTCCATTGTCTGAGGGGAGAAGGTCATGTTGATTCCATTCCACCTGCCCCTCACACTCCCAAAAAGTGCCAGTCTCAGTCCCAGTCTCCCTTTTCCAGGTTTTTAAAACATTCTGACCTGAAAAAAATGCCCCGTGTTTACTTTAAGGTGATGTTGATCCCACTCCTGGCCTGTTTTCTGACTGCTGAAAAGGAAATCCCCTTCCCCAATTAACCTGTCATTCCCAGCCTAATCCACATGTGGTGCGGTTCTGTTTGCCGCCGAAACCGCGGGGATCCTCCCAATGATTTTGCCGCAGTTCCTCCTTCTTGCCACAAGGTGGCACTATGGCCAAAAGAGTTACTCTCATACAAAAAAAACTGAATATAGAACAAACAAGATTTCACCCAGCATGAAATGCTGGATTATCTAATTTACTAGAGCAAATGGTTTTGCAATATTCATTTGCGATGTTTTTTATTTATGTAGTATATCAGACAGTTTCTTGACATGCTGTATTTTGGAGAAATCAACTTAAAAGACATTTTCTTGATATCTCCCCTGCCTTGGAATCTGGTGTACTGTGTGAAGAACTGCAGTGGAAACTGATTATCGCCTCAGTGTGAGCGAGGCGACTGTAGCTACCTGGAGGCCGAGAGAGCGTGGCCAGCCGCGGGGAGTCTTCTCACCAGCAATTTCAGTAGCACCTTCACCATACAGTCCTGGATATTTGCCAGGAACTTCTATTTGCCTGCTACCATTTGATACTAGATCAGCAGATTAAATCAGCAGATTGAATCACTGTAAATTGCATCAGGTTTTACCCTCCAGTTTAAAAACAAGCCCTCAAATCAATGCTCATATTACATAGTGATCTTATGTGGAGTTTGTAATAATTTACATTCAGGGTTTGATTTCAAGAGAAACATTAGTGGTTTCAACAGGTTATCCGGTTTCCCAGAGCACTTTAATTCAGCTGTGTTTATTTTCTGAGAATGGAAGTAACACCAAATGAGTGTTGTCCAAACATTTGCCTTTGTTTTATTACCCCTAAGTCCACATTCCCCACAATGTACTCTGAGTGACCCTTAAACCACACGCCCCCCCCCCCCCGCCCACCGATGACATGATTTTAAAGGGGTACGGAGTTAACGTGTTGGAGAGACATAGAGCCGCTTTGTTCCCTGTAGCTCTGATCTTCACCTCTAGATGCAGGAGGATCATGAGGTGGTGTTGGGTCACAAAGAAATGCTCCTTGGGAAATACTGCAGGGGCACTATGTGGCTTTGTGAGGTAGGACTCGTGAGATGGGGGCCTTGAACAATGTCACTAACCCCAATTGCTAATTGAAAAGCTTGATCCTGCTTTCTCACTTTGGATAAAAGCACGTGCTTAATAGGCAATCTTAGTCTTAAAGGGCCAGTGTGTATGCAGGTTTTTGGGATAACCTTTAGGTCAGCTGTTCAAACCCAGGTCTGAGAATGCTTTAGCCAATCAGTCTTCTGATTAATAATCGACCTAGGGAGTTACAGCGAAAACCCACATAAAAAATGACCCCTTCTGGATATGATTGCCTAACCCTGTGCTAGATTAATAAATGGACTGCCGTATGACTATCATGATATTCTGAATATAATAGTGTATCATTATAGTAATATATAGGAATATGTACGTTATCATATTTAATAATATGTAAAAAATAATATTTAAAAGGAGAAATGATCTCCTGGAAGAAATTGCAAAGTGAATGTAAACACAACGAAGAGCCAAAGATAAGATTTCAGGGACATTTTCTTATCTGGCAAAGGGCCGACTGTATGGACAGGATACGGGCAAAGTCGCCTTCCAACATAAAAGAGGTCATGCAGAGTTGAACATACTTAAAGAAGGAAACAATGGGGTTGGAAAAATATAAGACAAAGCAGCAGAAGACATTTCATTATAAATCGATCATACAACATGATTGCAAATTAACTCACTTATTAGAATTGTGTAATATTTTTCAGTTTCTCCTACGTTCCAGACATCAACACTGAAGCCTCTGCCAAGAGCCATTGTCATTATCACAGCAGACAAGCTGCAGAGACACTACATAAGAGGAGCCCAGTCCCCAGACCATGTCGCGGAGTCTACTGGGACCAAATCCCTCAGGTCTATCTGCTGAAGCACGACCTTTGAGATATGGATGCTAATCCATGTCACATTTCATAATTTATTTTGCAGTCAAGAAAGCAGATATCTCTTATTTTATTCTGGGAGGACAGTAGGAGGCATTATGAAGACTTATAGAAAGATTCCGCAATGTAACTGTTTTCATAAATTTAATAAACTTATTTTGGTGAAATTATTGTGTTCACATTGGATACCCTAAAATTAATTGTAGTTTTCCTGTCTTGGGGTACAGAG